CTGTTTTAGCTCCATACCCATCTCTGGATCTAAGACACTGCCAAGGGTAAAGCCATGTGCTGACTGGCTTAACCAGTGCTGAAGTGCTCATTGTCATGGTGCAGAGCTTCTTAAAGGCACACAACTTAGATGCCTTTTCAATTTCATCATGGCTTTGATAAAATAGCTGAGAAAAACAACTTAAGGAACAAATTATTTAATTTTCTCACAGTTTCAGATGTCTTCACCCATTGTGGTGGGGAGGGCATGGCATAGCAGAGCAGTTCACATCATGGTGACCAAGAATCAAGAGAGAATACCTGTGCTAGTGGGCTTCTTCCTTCTTCCTTCAATCCACCAGGTCCCAGCCTGTGGGATGGTGCCATGTTCAGGACAGCTCTTGCTCCCTTAGTTAATTGTCTCTGGAAATGTCCCCAGAGACATACCCAGAGGTACGCTTTGCCAATCTCCTAGGCACTTCTCAACCCAACCTAGTTGACAGTCAAGATGAACCACCACAGGTTACCTTCCTGCCAATCTTGACCCAGGACCATGTAGTCATTTCACTGTGAGGTTTTTCTCTGGAAAGGAACAAATTCCATTCAAGGGACTCCAAACTTCTAAACATTTTATCAGTCTTGGAATGAACTGTCTCCTCTGTTGTCAGCCACTTTACCCTTATCCCTCACCATTCTTTCTTCCTCCCGCATCACTTTCTCCTCTTCTGGGACTGTCAACAATATTGCTTCCTTAGATGATTTGGAAAATATTGGCTTCCCTTTCTTGAAGATAGTCATGGAGAAAGGGAAAAAGACATGCTAAAATCAGTCATTTGTCTTTTTTCTGTTAACTAACATTACTTTAGGGGAGAGCATAAGTGTAAAATTTAGACGTGTCCAGAGAATCACAGAACACTAAAGTTTAAGAGTGGTGGCACATACCGAGACAGGATTGCAAGTTTGAGGCCAGCATGAGCTACATATTGAGTTTAAGCCTGGCCTGGGAGTGGAGAGAGAGAGAGAAAGAGAGAGAGACCTTCCAGCTAGTCATTTTATACTTGCCACTCTTCACTCAAATAATAACTAACAGAAGTCAGCTTACATTCACATTGGTCATGATTAGAAACAGAGCCTAAGGAGGGGTGTCCAGTGTGTAAGGAAATATAGGCCCCAATATGACCACGTGGAGAAGAGTGATCTGGCCAAGAGATTCTTTATTGCCGGGTGGGAGAGGGAGAGAGCAGAGAGAGCCAAAAGAGAGAAACAGGAGGGGCAGGGGCTTAAATACCCCTCAGTGGGACTCAGCATGATCTGGTTGGTTAGGATCTTATGGTTCATGCTGATTGGAGGTTGGGGCAGAAGGAGGATTCAAGCTAGACTTGAGGCTGGACTGTGACCCTGGGAGGCAGGACCGTGACCCTGGAAAACAGAAGCTTAAGGGTGCAGTAAGAACTGAAACCTATCGGTGCCATTATTGCCAACACAGTGAATGTAACTCTGTACCACTAACAGGTGGCAGGTGCAGCCTTGGGGGAACCCATGCAGCAGAAGTGAGTGAAAATTTCACCCTTAAGAGTGGCAATACACCTTCTCATCCACTGCACTCCTTTTAACAGGAGAGAAACCATAACGCTTGCATAATCTAAAATTAAAATTGTGTAACTTAAATATTGCTTGCTGAAGTTGATGTTAGTTAGCAATCACATCAACTTCATCTCAAAAGAAAACATATATATAAATTATATTTATCATTGTATGTCAAGATAATAAATTTATCATTGTATGTCAAGATATTTATCACTTCACTGAGAAAAAGGAGAAATACTATTGAAGGATTGTAATGTATCTTTTATTGACATATTAGAAACATTTAAATAGTTCCATAACATAGGCTTTTATATATCTTTGAGCACATCCTCAGCTTAAGACTAGGACAGAGCACTACAGAAAACCAGTATGGGCAGCACAGGAGATGTCTGAAGCACCAACACAAACAAAGAAGGAAGGTCAAACAAACCTGCCTGTGTAAGTTACCATTTACTTGACAAAGTCCTAAAAGAATTGGCAATGGTTTATGTCTTTTAAAAAAAAAGGCTTTGGAACTTCTAGAAGTTAAACCAAAGTTCCAGACTAAACTTTAGGCTCACACCCTGAATTATAGTTAACAACAGTCCAGAGAATCTTAAGTGGATACATTACTGAGTCTGTGGTTTGCTGCTAACTTTTGTAGTGATTCTAAAATTCCAAAGGAAAAGCTAATCTCTGACCTACAAAACATGTTTGAATCTAAAATATGCTTTCCCAAAGCATTTTTGTGAGGTTTGCTGACATGGACAAAATTGCTTATTTATGCATAAATAAAGCATTTTGTTAAAGTATTTTGGCCATTATACTAGTTTAGAACAGTCTAACTCAGCTAACACATCATCAGGAAGTGATGAAATCAGGTGCTACCCTTACTACTGTCTAGAGGAAGGCCAATGGAAAAGTCAAGACTGGCTGACACGGACAATGAGCAGCGTGACAGTACCTGATATCGTGCATTTTTGTAATGGACTAGCTAACCTGAATGAGCAACTCATCATGTTTGGTGTTTCACCTAAGCTAATTACTATGAATGTACCACAGTCACAATTTAGGATAAATTAGACTTCCAAATCTTAGCTAAAGGCTTAGAAAATCACACCTATACAATGTCTTGTTATCCCCACAGCTAGATACTAGTAGCAGAAGTTAGTTCAACTGGCACTAACAATAGCTGGAAAAGTACTTAAAAATGTGCAGCACGTAGAGAGAGTGTGTGTGTTTGTGACATTCTGAAAGCAATGGTTTTCTCTATGATTTTCTTTTTTAAAGCATTAGCTGTTCATTTGCCTGGAATCATGTCTACTTGGTAAGAATTGCTAACAATTTAATGACTCTGCAAACATTATGAGTTGTCCACACTAGACTGAGTTAAGGATTTTCACTACCTTATGTGCTTTTCTTCTCATTTTCTTCCCTTCCCTCAAAGTACAAAAAAAATTTAGTATTCTTATCTGTGTGTGTTTACTAAGGATCCTGAAGGCCGTACCTCCAATTGGCTTTGTGGTTCTTGATATGTTTCAACCAAGTGCACAGTAGTTCTCTAGAGCACTAGTGATCAACCAAGGTATTGCCCCCAGGAGACATCTGGCCATGTCCAGAGATATTCTGGGTTGTCACAGACAACCCAGAGACATTCTGAGAGACAAGGTGCTACTGCCATCTAGTGAGTGGAGGCCAGAAATGCTACAATTCATCTACAACACACAGAGTGACAGCCCCCCATAACAAAGAATTATCCAGACCCAAATGTAGCAGTACAGAACTTTAGGAAATGTCTGCCCTAGAAGGAATAATTAAAAATAGCATTTTGTTTTATTTATAATTATTATTAATGCTTATGTTTGGGATATTTAGACACAGTTCTAGCAAATGTCTTTATAGCAATGATGTAGTATAGAGAATTTATGTGACTTAAAAAAAACTTTACAAGTGCGTTTTTAGGAATCAGAATATAATATAATTGCAGGAATCTCTGGAGATGCTTGAACTTTCAGCTAGACTTTGCTCCACTTTGTGTAGGATATCATTTACTAGCTGAGATTTAGAGGTTTCAGGGGTATCAAGAAATAAACTTAGCTACCTATTAACCAATGACCTCTACCTGTGCCAGGCACAAAAGCAGCCAGGTTTACATATTGTGTCATTTAACCTCAGCACAATCTCAAAAGTAAACATTAGTAGCCCCATTTTCAAATGAAGGAACAGAGGCTCAGAGAAGTGTCGTTCTTTTCTCAAGATAATACTACTGGAAAATCATGAAACTGGCATGCAAACTCTATCAGAGTATCAGTCTTTACTCTTTCCTCTGTGTGATACTATTCATGGAAGTTACTGAGCTTTTAACCATAGAACAAATGCATCTCAGCAGCATGAGAGGAAATACAAATGGGAAAAAAAAACAGGAATATTCTCACCTAAAATATGGTTACATTACACCAAATACACTGAGTCTCTTCCCTCTTTGGGTTGGTTCAAAGTGTTGTAAAGGGTCCCTACTGCTTCCAGACAGAAAAGCATACTGTTTAGTCTGTACATGCCTTATCCCATCGCTTATCACTCTGGTTTTGGTAGACCTCATCATGTTCTTAAGACTGAATGGGGATCATTTCTTGTGGGCCTGTTGTCACCGTTGTGTCATGTTCTAGTCCAACTTAGTTAACTTTGATTTTTCTCATAAAATTTCTATACAGAGCCTGTCAGGGCAGGGAGCAAGGGAAAGTTTCATTTCTGGAGCGAGATTCATCTCTGTGGCTACCATGAGACATCAGAATGGGGCCCATGTCGATTGGATATTTGGAGACTCAGAGCACATCCAAGTGAGGATATGAACAAACTGGAGCTCTGAATAATCCAAATCATGCTTGACAGTGCTCACAAGACAGAAGGAGGTGGGGACCACATGCCAGGACCTCTTTGATGGGACAACAGTCTTCTACTCTACCAAATAGAACCCAGGTACCCAGATGAGTAGCTTAAGGATTGGCTTTGAGCTTTGCACATTCCAACTGACGTTAAAGCCTCATTTTCTTTTTAGGCACTTTATAGATTACAAATAACATATTTCAAATACCATCTTTTGATTTAAATTCATGTTTTCTGTTTGACAAAAATGTCTGGTGTTCACAGCTTAGCCCATTGTATTTGCTGTGTTACCTTCAAACTGCAAATATTCTTCCTTTGAAGAATTTTTTTCCTGTAATTTCATCTCCAAAACCCAATTATCTTGAGCTCTTTTTAAGTAGGCTTATTTCAGAATTTCACTTCTGAAATAATCCCAGGGTTTATTTCAGAAGTGAAGCAGCACCCTGACTCTATATCTTCCATATGGCCACACTCTGACATTAAGGAATGATCAACTACAGAAAACCTGCATGGTTGCATTGGTCTAGATTTTGGTCCCTTCCACAAACTATACAGATTTGTTGTGTGTGGGGGGAAGCATTTCTAAAAGTGTCTAGGTCATGATTTCTTCAAAGTCGGACAGCTGCCTCATCTGTTCGGCTTGCATAGAATGCCTTCTGAGCAGCTTCTTTTTGCTTCTCAAGTCAACTCTCTTTGGTGAGCTTGGAGCAGCAGGAACCATAGGTTTCAAGCCACTAGCAAGTGGTGAAGAAGGTTTAGTGCTAGATCTAATATCTGGGATAGGTGGGTTCAGATTCACATTTAAAGGTGGAAGAAAGCCAGGCCTAGTGTGAGAAATGCGGTCCAGTAGCAGAGTTCCAGAACCTCGTCTTTCTAAAAGATGTGGTGGCCTGCGACGCACTGAGCTGGGGGACGTGCTGGGCACAGCATCCAGGGACTCCCGAGAGCCATGGAAAAGAGACAAGTGGGAGCCATTGAGCTTCTTCCTATCTAAGGGTCCCTTGCCTGACTCAAGAGAAATGGAGTTGGGTGGGTCAGTCCCTGGCTGTAAATCTAAATCATAAAGGTCATTTTCCAGCCGTTTGAGGCATGTTGACTCTTTGAGAGTGGAGGTTCCTGATGGACACACGCTGCCCTTCTCTTGGTCAACAGGAAGTGTTCCTCTCCTGGCCAGACGTGGGTGAGAAGCCTGGCCTTTCTCGTAGGCTGCTTTCCAGGAAGCTGGTGCTGAAGAGGCTGGAACCTTCAGAACCTGCTCTGGTACCATGGGAAAAAGTGCAGGATCTTTGCCATCGATGCTGTTGGTTCTGGAGAGGGGCCCCCTCTTAGGAAAGGACATGTCACTGATGTTCCTGATGACCTCGTTATCCACACTGGCACTATGGGTCTCTTCCTGACGAGTGGAAGCCGCCAGCACAGAAGGTGCAATCAGGCCCCAGGGTTCAGACTGGAGCCTCTTCAGTTGGGGCAAACGGGCCCTTTTAAGATTACCAACCTTCCTGGTGGGTGACCCAGGCTCATTGAGGACCTTAGAGGTATTGCAACCACTTGGGTGTCCTGTTTGGAGACTGAAGATTTCATCATCCTCCTCATTGGGTGGAGAACCCAGGCCTGAAGCCTTCAGTTCAATGTCAGAAGGAGATGCACACAGTGGAGGTGACTGTCTGTCTACCACTTTGGGTGAAGGAGGAACATTAAGATACTGTTTGGTGGTTTTGGTGCCTGAAGATGATTTATCTGTTGTAATAATAATCACTTCCTTCCCTTTGGCTTTGCAGGCATCAAGGAGATGTTTCAAGGCATCCTTGTCATCTGCATTTATTGCATAAACCAGGGCTGAAGCCCCAGTGCGATCCTCAAGGCTGGGGTCAGCACCATTCTCCAGCAATAAGGAGACCACCTCTCCCCCAGCTCTTCTGATGCAGGCATGTATGAGAGCAGTCTTTCCAGACTTATCCTGGATATTGGGATCTGCCCTGTTGTCCAACAAGTACTTCACCATCTTGGACTTGCTGATGCTTTGCTGGTCTACATGTTTGGTGATGCACGCCACCATGAGAGCTGTTTCACCTTTGTCATTGCTTTCATTGATGTAAGCTCCCCCTTCTAGGAGGAGTCTGGTCAACCGGAGCCTCCCCAGCCACACAGCCTTTAACAGGGAGTTTCCATCAGTCCTCAACTCTGTGTCATCATCCATCATATTGGCAGCAGCTTAGACCATCTGAGCCCCAGGGGAAATCAGACCTAGCGAGGGAAGAAGAGGGAAAATGTTACATATTCTGTCTTCAATCTGTGCAGCCTAGTTGTTACAGAGTCTAGGTATAGCTATATCCCAGCCCCATACAAAGCTGTGTTACCTTGGCTAAGTTATTTAACATCTCTGACTGAGCTGCTGCATCCATAATGTCTATGCTGGTGGGGAGGGAGATTGCAGAAATGTACTTCATAGAGTCATTCATCCTGAAGATTGCATAGGATGGAGTGTATAAAACACTTAACCTCATGAAAAGTACTTAACATAATGCCTATCATAGTAACTATTTTTAAAATTCAAGATATTATTGTGATACCTATATAACACTTACTTATCACAAATGTAGAAATCTAAGTTCCTTAAGGAAATATTTGTGCCTGTCTTGTTCACTGCTCTCCTCAGTGTTTAGCAATGGTTCATACATGAAGTTCTTTTCTCTTCTTCTTCTTCTCTCTGTCTCTGTGGCTCTCTCTGTCTCTCTGTCTCTGTCTCTCTCACATATACACACATATGTGCAGGTGGCCACAGTTCATCTCTCTTCTCTATCCACCATTGTAATCATTTTCATTCTTCAGTGTTCTACTAATGGCTGTGTTAAAGTCTTCCACATTACTTCACAGTCTCTAAACTCTAGATATTTGAAGCAGGAATTCAAGGACTAGCTAAGTGAAAGGGAATATCCAGAAAATGTGCTTCCTTCCATCCCATCAAGGGAGTCCTTCATCCCCTGACCCCAACTCACCTAGGCAGCATGATCCCCCTGCAACTTCAGTCCTTGTCATACTCCACCTACCTTAAGCTTCATTCTTTCTCATGCACCACTTCAATTTCTTTTTTCCTCTTGGCATTGTTCATATTTCTAACAGTAAGGCCTTCCTGCTCTTCTTTAATTATTCATCATCCTCAAAACTTCAGCTCAAATGTTACTTCCTTTGTAATCAAGAGGAAAATCACTCAAGATCCAAGAGGGAACATTGAGTAAAATGACAGTGACTCATATCCAGACTATATAAATATAGAATTCCTACAAGTCACTTCCTTCAAAAGAGGATACACAAATGACCAATAAGCACATAAAAAGGCACTCAGCCTTGTTAGCAATCAAGGAAAATCAAATTAAAGCACAATGAGATACCACTACACCCTCACCAGAATGGCTAAAATTAGACAGACTGACAGTATTGAGGATGGATGAGGTGGAAAATAACAGGAACCTGCTGGAAGTAGGAAGTAAAACTGGTGCCACTAAACTTAAGCCTACCCTCTGACCCAGTAATTCCATACCTAGGTTGATACCTGTGCTAGACTGTAAAACATGGCCACAATGTTCTCCCATCCTGGTATGTATGTGAAGAGTTGGTCCTGTGACTTGCTTTGGCCAAAAAAGTGAGGCAACATATGTGGCTTTTGAGGCAAAGCCTCTATAGACTTGAAGCTTCTGAGATTGCTGTCATGGAATCTAGCTGCCATGTAAGGAATCTGAGTTGTTTCACTAGAAAAGGCTGTGGGGCTTTAACTGATAATCCAAGTAGCTGCCAGAATGTGGGTGAGACCAACTTCGACCATCTGACTCCAGCCAGCTCCCAGATGATTGCAACTAGATGGATGAACCCAATGGAGGCCAGCAGAAGAACTATCCAAAGCTTGTGTCAAATTCCAGAAATATGAGTAAATAGATAGTTATTGTGTTAAGTCAATCACTTGGGGATGGTTTATTCACAGTAAGGATTACTAATAAATATGTAAAAGAAAAGACATCGATAACATTATTCATAAAAGTCCAAAACTGGAAACAACTCATCAAGAAGGAAATAAATTATAGATTGCTTGTACACACAACACACCCAAAGTGCAAATCAGACACAATAGATCTTGGGTCCTAATACTTGGCTCAGAACTCTGAGCAACTAGAAGTAGGAGAACTGTCTTTTCTCTGTTGCCAACTGTGTGACGATTGGAAAGTGGATAAAGTAAAAAAAAAAATGGTGAAAAGGAGGAAGAGAAAAATGTAAGGAAGACAGGAAGGAAGATACCTGGATTAGCATTTATGTTGCATGTGGCGCAAATTATATGCCTCTAGGCTAGCTCAAAGTCAGGAAAAGGAAGGAGGGAACAAAGAAGATAGTGTATCTAGAAGACTGCTTCTCTCCCTTTACTTGGAATCAATGGTCTTGTCCCTTCTCAAATCTCCCCCAGCACCTAAGGAAGGAGCAGGACCAAAGTTAATCATCCAAGTCTTTCTGTTCCTTCTGACCATCCCACCCACAGATACAACATTTCTTGTGCTTTAAGCTGTTCTGCAGGTTGTCTATCACAATCTGCTCTGTAGGACTCTCCACTCAATTTTTTGGGGGGGTGGAACTGGAATTTGAATTTGGGGCTTTATGTTTGCAAAACAGGTGCTCTACTGCTTGAGCCACACCTCTAGTCCATTTTACTCTGCTTATTTTTGGAGATGGGGGTTTCTTGAACTATTTTCCTGGGCTGGCCTCAAACTTCAATCCACCCAATCTCAGCCTCCCAAGTAGTTAGGATTGCAGGCAGGAGCCACCAGCACCTGGCCTCCACTGAAGTTCTTTAAATGACAAAAATACAAGCATTTTGTTTGAGGACAGAATCAGGTCCTTACTTCATTCTTTCAGCTCAGATCAAATGTGCTGGGATAATGTTAAATGTTGGGGTGCTGCATGTAGTTTTAGTTTGAACTTCATTTCAAGAATAGTGGAGTTACAAGACTTCTGTTTGCATGGCCAGCTGACAATAGCCTTACAAATTACACCATCCCAGATTTGCATAGCACGTCTATGTCCCCCTCTTGGTATTAGTCACTTGTCTTGCCTTCTGGCCTGAGAAGAAGAAGAAAAGTTTAGCAAAAGCCAAACTTTTCAGACAGTCTGAGAGTCAGGTCACTGCTGCCCTGTCGCTGTCACAGCAGTGACTGACCAGGATAAACTGACTGTGATGTGATTTTCTATAGCAGCTGCCTGGGGAGTCCAGGTCACTCAATCCAAAAGGTGTGAGGAGTTGATCCTTTGCAGAATCAATGTTGGCCAATAAGAGGTTGGGATGGAAAAGAGATATTCAGTAAACTCTTCTCCCTTTCTTTGTGCAATAGCCTGTTCCAAATTGAAATAGATTATGCAGCTTTCACAGGACCACACAATCAGTGCACTTGTGAAACCATGGCTAGCTCAACAACATGTCCAATTATATTCACTCATCCTTCCTCCTGGCCTCATTTTTCATTTCCCTTCATTCCTACTTCCTAGGGAGTAATGACCCAACAAGATGTTAATACGTATGTTTTGGTCTCAGACTGATGCCAAATGTCTTTATTGAACCACAAAAACATCCCTTTCAACTTAAAAAACTAAATTCTCCCAAAACTAATGAACCAATGAAGAAATGGGCAAGTGAACTAACCAGAACTTTCTCAAAAGAAGAAATTCAAATGGCCAAAAAACACATGAAAAAACGCTCACCATCCCTAGCAATAAAGGAAATGCAAATTAAAACCACACTAAGATTCCACCTCACCCCTGTTAGAATAGCCATCATCAGCAACACCATCAACAGGTGTTTGCGAGGATGCAGGGAAAAAGGAGCCCTCTTACACTGCTCGTGGGAATGTAAACTAGTACAACCACTCTGGAAAAAAATTTGGAGGCTACTTAAAAAGCTAGACATTGATCTACCATTTGATCCAGCAATAACACTCTTGGGGATATACCCAAAAGACTGTGACACAGGTTACTCCAGAGGCACCTGCACACCCATGTTTATTGCGGCACTATTCACAATAGCCAAATTATGGAAACAGCCAAGATGCCCCACCACTGACGAATGGATTAAGAAAATGTGGTATCTATACACAATGGAATTTTATGCAGCCATGAAGAAGAACGAAATGTTATCATTCGCTGGTAAATGGATGGAATTGGAGAACATCATTCTGAGTGAGGTTAGCCTGGCCCAAAAGACCAAAAATCGTATGTTCTCCCTCATATGTGGACATTAGATCAAGGGCAAACACAACAATGGGATTAGACTATGAGCACATGATAAAAGCGAGAGCACACAAGGGAGGGGTGAGGATAGGTAAGACACCTAAAAAACTAGCTAGCATTTGTTGCCCTTAACGCAGAGAAACTAAAGCAGATACCTTAAAAGCAACTGAGGCCAGAGGAAAAGGGGACCAGGAACTAGTTCAACAAAGGTTCCCCCCATCCATGGATGGGGAAGCTGAAGTCAGTAAAGAGTGGCTCACCTATGGTCATGATCAGTGAGTCACTTTGGAGTTCTCTTGCCAGCTCACAGTGACCCCTTCATTCTGCTTTTGGTAGATAAGTTCATATTATTTGACTATGTGATCACCTGACTCAATCGTGAGTAGAATTTGAAATTGAGACTAGAAATACAAGTTACCCTGTGCTATTTGTAGGAATTGAACTATTGGGAACTCTGGAGGTGAGGTTGCATTTGTGGGTTAGTCTCATGCACATAGGGAGAAGTGTGATGTAAACATACCAAGAAGCTGAGATGAGAGTTGGAGAGAGAACTCCTGCTCCCTTCTGAACTTTACCTACCTCTAGAGTGCATGAACACTCTTGAAATCTTTCAGAAATTGGAATGGTTTTGTTTCTGATATGCTGAATTAATTTCTGGTACTTATAATCATATAACCTTGACTAAGACACCAATATACTTACTCATTATTCATTTCAATCACACATTTGACTATCTACTCCACTCTAGTTGTTCAGGATAAAGAGATGTATGAAATGCAGAAACAACTACTAGGGTACTTAGAACCCAGAGAGAAGACAGATATATATTTTAGCAATAAAAAATGTGGTATACTTTCCATGTACTGAGCAATGTACCAAATACTGTATACTATGTAATTTAATCCTTACAAACCTATGAGATAGATACTATTATCTCTGTTTTATCAGAAATGAAACAGAGCCTCAAGAAGGTAAAGTC